AGGTCATACGAGATGCAAATGTGAACAGAAATGCCACTCTGTACACAAAATAGCATATGTTATCGATATAGTGGGCCGAACATTGCGACCGGTAACATCCACCTTTGAACGTATGGAGAAGGAGTTTGTTAAAGTGGGACTGGCAGTAAGTGTCGAGAAGACCAAGCTGATGGCATCAACGCGCAAGACTCTGACCAATTGTGGAACTTGAAAACTACAGATTCGAGGTCGTGATCAGTTTTATATACCCCGGTACCGCCATAAACAAAACTAATAACATCAGTTTTGAAATCCGACGAAGAATAGTGTTGACCAACAGATGCTACTATGGTCTGAGTAAGCAATTTAAGAATATGACCACCTCTTGCCACACCAAACTCACACTCTACAAGACGCTGATACAACCCATGATGTTGTATGGATCTGAAGCAGTGTTGCTCAGCCCTTTACGTTTTCGTGAAAACAAAACACACGTACCCTCTCTCAATTTAGATCTGCCGTTTGTTCAGCATAGGCGGGAGAGTAACATGAAAATACCAATGCATGGGTACTTGCGCAAGCAGATTAGGCAAGCTCTTGGAGTGTTTGAAAGAAAAATTCTCCGATCTGTGTCGAAGGTGAATATCGCCGAATGAACAATGAGCTGTACCATAGTCAGACGTATCGAGTTGCAGCGACTACGTTGGCTAGGTCATGTTGTAAGAAGGCATACAAAATCAAGCCAACTGATGGTTCACGCAGAAGGAGAAGGCCACGAATTTGATGCAAAGACCATGTGGAAGACAACATTTCGGAACATGGTCTTTCAAATTAGATGAGCTGCGCACAAGACCGAAATGCCTGTAAATCTTTTATAAGCTCGGCTTATGGAAAAACGTTCTGTCACAAGCCAGCAATAGTCTTCTTCATTCATGTCCCAATTGAATATTAGGGATCTAATTCCACAGTGACCTGATATGATGCCTGCAGTGAGTTTGATCTTTTTTTTTCCTTTGTGATTTGAAATCCTCAAATATTATGAATTTTGATGTTTTACACTCTGGCTCCTCAGGCCATCTTCTGCCGGCCTTCTCGCAGCAAATCTTACGGATTTCGCCAATGAAATAACCAATAGGTAGCCTTACAGATCTCACAAAATGCAGATCGGAGAACTGTAACTCCTTTCGAGAGAGCCCATAAGCTATTTTATTCTCAACATATCTAAGTACATGATATGAATACTTTAAATATATTCTAAATTTGCCGATATACCTGCTATTGGATCAAAAGAAAAAATAAAAGAAAATAAAATTTGATCTTATCGAATGATGTCTAACAATTGCATACACCTTACAATAAATTCTGATACATTTTCGATCCTCTATCTTACCCTTTTCCCAACTCTATGACAAAATTTCGTACTTATTCCAATTTGCAGCAGACTTTAGATGATAATTAAACCAGACACACATGTCTCGCATCAGACAACCACGAACTTTTTCCTGGATATTTGTAATTACAAACCCAGTCCTTTAGGAAATATGTCATGTTAAAACCATGTAATGCTGCATTATAATCCTCTAAACACATTCTCATTTGCATTTCCCGATGACAATACATCAACAGTCACACAGCATCATTGTCTCACATTCGGTTCGGTTAGCATAGCTCATCAACATCTCTAATCCCTGTGTTGTATCATGAGCAAAGTCGGACCATGTGTGTTTCAACGTTTTCTTCATCAAACTAATTGACGATATCGTTTCCATTGAATGTGAATGCGGCAAGTTGGAGTTGGAAGGCGGCAAGCGGTATCCTTTCATTAAAACCTTTCACCTATAAAAAATTACACCATTCGCACAACTCAACCCAACCATTCAATACATTCTCATAAACAAATGTCATATATCCTGGCCATTGCTATCAAGTGACTCCTTCAATATCAGCCATGCAGCTTTCCGCTCTGAGTAGCATGTTTATGGGAATTCCTCTTTTTGTTTGGTTCCTTTTCTGCGTATGTTTTGTTGTTTTCGTGTGTCGTGTATTGTTGCTATTCCATTTGATGTGTGGTTGCTATTATTGTTGTTGTCATCAACATTGTCGCTGTCATTGCTCTTAGTCTATCTGTTCGTTCGTCTGTCCATCCGACTATCTATCGGATTGTCTAGGTTTTAGTGTGCGTTTGCAACAACAACTCGTCGTATGTGAATAAATGAATGAATGAACTGGAGGAAAGGTTACTATTTGTTTGTCCTCTGCTTCTTCTTCCTGTATCCTCTCTTGTTTTTTGGAGCCTTTGTAGCCATCCAGCCAGCCACCACGTACATATAGCATGTCCGTTTGTCTGTTTGCCGTTTCTCCTTTCATCCGGTTGTATTTTATTCCAATGAAACACACACACTCAAAGCAAAAAAAAAAAAAAAAGAAAAAGGAAATTCATTGCAACAATGGCTTTTGCGTGTTGTCGACACCAATGACACTAAAAGAGTAGCAGCAGAAGCGACGGCGGCAGCATCCATCCATCCAGCCACCCAACCAAACAACCAACCAGCCAGCCTTTGGTAACAAAGGCCAAATGAAGATGCTGCAGGGGGCAAATTTTTACATGATAACATGATTATTTTAATTAAACCTTAAGCTAGGGCAATGATTTTTCATTACATGTGCCATGACAGCGCCATAACAACAAAAACACCAACAGCAGCAGCACCAGTAACCAGCAACCAGGCTGCTATGTCACCCACCAACAACACACATTTATTCACCGTGTAATGAAGCGTTCATGTGTGTGTGTGTGTTTGTGCGTTTATTAAAGCTTTGTTAAATTTCCACTTAATAGATAGACAATCTCCTTTGTGACAGTGCGATCTCAAAAGTACATATTGTGTGCGAGGTCACATTTGTTCAAGTGTCCGAGGTCATGCAAACTAAATAGTCTTGCATTTGAAGTTCGTTTGGAAATATAAGTTGAAGTTTTTTTCGAAGCAGACTATTGCAAAATATTTTATCGTTCTGAACCCTTTTAACCTGTTTCCTTATCTCCATTATTAAAGGAACAATAAAATGTTTAGCCGTTTTATGGTTCAAAATTTTTTAGATCCCCCTGAATATAATTGGATCCTTATAAAAATTCATATTGCATATTGGCGACCATATCAAAACATGGGCTAATAATATATATGTTCAATACCAAACATACTAATAACATTTTCAATACCAAATGTCTTAGGACTAATAGTAAAAAGTAAAAGTAAGTGCATAATTGCAAAGATCCATCTTGAGCACATTCGATTCTTCCAAAGTACTGTCATACTTGTCATATTGTTGTCGGCTTTCGCCATTTGGTGTCATATTCCCAACACCTTAAAGCTCCTATTAAAATAAATTTTCATTTGTACAAAATTGTGTACCACCTTATGCTCTGAAGGTCAAAGATCCGTTCGCAACATTTTAGAATGCCGGCACTTCCAACAACAATTAAATAACCGCCCTAAAACCGCACCCAAGTGAAGAAAAAAAAGCTAAGCAAATCCTAACGCTAAACAAAAAAGAAATAATCCGACTAACGGGTATTCTAACGGGATACCTTAGCCTGAAGGCACATCTACTTGAGATTGAATGCGAAGGTAGCAGCATATGCAGAGCGTGTGGGGAAGACAGTGACAGAGCGTGTGGGGGGATGGAACATTTCCTGTGCCATTGCCCGGCATTTACAAGCCTTCGGAAACAATTCATGGGAAATGACACTCTTCACAGACTAACCGATCTGAAGGGGGTGTGAATGGAGAAGACTGAAGGAGTTCACAAAAAATACGGAACTCCTAGATTCATAGGGGAATCAACCCCAAATGCTTTTTAATCTAAACTTTCACTAATTCCAACTTTCTCCGCATTTCTAGAGCGCACAAAAAGCCTCATTTGGCTTATGTGTATGTCCACCTCATGTTGGACATATGGTGGTATCATCCACCCCTCTTTTCAACCTAACCTAAAACCGCATGTACATTAAAACTTTACATGGTTAACCAATCCTACACTACAACAGTGACCCTAACTTTAAATTTCAGGATTCCAGCCCTATCGGTTCACCCAATATTTAAATTGTACCATATTTAGTACACATTAGTATTAATTAGTATTCCAAAATTTCCCAAATTGCCTAATCCTACAATCCAACAGTGATCCTACCTCCAAATGTCAAGATTCCAGCTCTATCGGTTCACCAAAACCTAAATATGGGTTTGGGTGAACCGATAGCTTTATCTGACACCTACGGACCAAGAGTGACCCTCACCCCAAATTTCAAGATTCTAGCTTCAGCCGTTACGTATGGGCGTTGATGAATCGTTAAGTCAGTCAATCAATTTACTCTTTTTGTAGTATCGGTAGCATCCACACTTCCATATATTCATCGGAAAAATGTTGAAATTACCATTAAACTTGCAATTGTTACTTGCAATTGTTACAATGATATTTAATATTTTTGGATCTAGAATAGTTTTGGAATCACTTTATAGTTCAACATACTGTACTACGACTAATTATTTCATGAATGGAGATCAATTTTTGTAATTTTCTACTTTCTGTCCCAAAATATGAAAATGATCTATTAATTAAATCGCATCCCCACTGTAACTCGACGCATTCCTCCTACTTTGACAATATATACCCCCCATACACACTGTAAAATGTAATGTCATGATTAACGTTCGGTAATTTGACAACTTTAATAAAGCGGCAATAAACATAACAACAACAAAGACAATTACGACAGTCATTAAACAGAATATCCGATTTTAATGTGAGAATTTTATATGAAACAATGTTCGTATTTGGTGCGAAATCTCTTTACACTTAATTAATTATTACAGGATTAATTTACTTTGTGAATTACAAATTTCACAACAAAAAAATAATGAAAATAAGTCGGAATTGTGGTCCTTTAATTTGTTGTATTAATGGTATTTTATTTTGAAACTAAACCTTATTAAAAACAACAACGTTTTCTATTTTATTTTCAGGTCGAAGAAGAACCAATTATTGTACGATCCAAACGCAGTGCAAATACCCTAGGCGGAGGCACCCCACTCGATACTGATAAAGCCGAAAAGATTTTATTGAAATCATTAAATAAAATTGCTACCGGTGAAGGACCTTCGTATGGGTAAGATAATTCATGTCTTACTTCTACATGAGAAACCAATCTCAAAATCTCATTTCAAAATTTCAGCATCTCAAAAATTTACACAGCCGAAAGAAAAACCGTTGCTGGCACCTTAACCACAATCGATGCCGATCTAGTCACCCCCGATGGCAAAGTAGAACGTTGTCAAGTCGAAATATGGACCAGAGCTTGGTTTTCTGATGGCAATGAAGTTACCATTAAATGTCCCCACCAGGATGTGGTCAAAAGACGCCATAGTCGTTCTGTCGAATATGCCGAAAAGAAAACACACAAAAAATCCAATCATCACAATCTGAGTAAAGTGGAGCATTTGTTTTCGAAATTCCAAGTTAAATATAAACGCCGTTATCACACCACAATGGAGAGACAAATGCGTTTGCGTATTTTCAAGCAAAATTTGAAAATCATTCAAGAGCTAAATGCCAATGAAATGGGTGAGTTTGACAATAGATATTTTTTAAATAACATGTTAATTTATTTTGATTTCGTTTCCTCTTAACAGGAAGTGCCAAATACGGTATCACCGAATTTGCCGATTTAACCAGCACTGAATACAAACAACGCACCGGTTTATGGCAAAGAGATCCCGTCAAGGCCGCTCTTACTCCCAGGGCTGAAATCCCTGATATTGATTTACCCAAAGAGTTTGATTGGAGAGAAAAGGGTGTTATTTCACCTGTAAGATACGATTTTTTTTTTTTTTAATTTGAATAGGGGTGTCATTAATATTTCTTTTTTTATCATATTTTTGTTGTAGGTCAAGAATCAAGGAAATTGTGGCTCATGTTGGGCTTTCAGTGTCACCGGTAATGTTGAAGGTTTACATGCTGTAAAAACTGGTAAATTGGAAGAATATTCGGAACAAGAACTTTTAGATTGTGATACAACTGATTCGGCTTGTAATGGTGGTTTACCCGATAATGCTTATGAGTAAGTATATAAATATATGTTTGTGGTATAAATAAATACTCCACGAAGATGCGTCAAATTATGCTTTCTGGAGGCTTTTTTACGGGCTCTTCTTCTAGCCGGCTTAGACACTACGTTACCTTCCATAGCAATGGTGGATGGATCCAAAGTCATACAGGAACAACCTGGATGGTCCTGATTAAGAGAAATTTCTGACATCATTTTCCCATTCGTGCTTGGAATACCCAGAGTTTTTTTTTGCACTCTCAAAGGCCCTTATTGATATGAGAATATTGACATAATTTTCCCAGTCGTATTTGGACTACAACAGAGTTTTCAACTCCATTGGAAGGTTGGGCCAACTTTGCCTCAATCAAGAAGTCACTCACAATACTATTCGGGTAGTTCTACTTGAACGTACAAGTAAAGTTAAGGTGCCTATTTATTTTATGGAAATCCTTATGGGTTATCGTACTCAGGTCTCCCTCGATAAAATGGCTGCAGATGTTTATTGCTTTATTTTATGATTCATTTCAATAGCCAGACCATTGGTTATTAAATCTGCGCTTTTAGATGTCGAGATTGAGGGTGATATTGCAGCCACACAAACATCAGTTAAATGGGGTTGGTTCAATGGGATTCTGTCTGTTTCAAAGGGAGGGAGGTGTAGGCGCCCAGGCATCAACAAGGATCCGTTAAAATACAGTACGCACTCTGATTGCAAACCGCGAAACACTGATGGGCACGAGGTCGTCTAACACCACAGCATTAGGGAGGTCACTTTAGAAAGGAGGTGACCCAAGGCGTTGAAATTAGTAATTTAGGATTGCCAATTGCACCTTGTCGATTTTGGAGTCATAGTCACTCTGGCACTTCCTCCGATACTCTTTCCCAAAACCAGCCGTGTTTTTCACTATGCGTAACTTGTAACTTTTTCCTATTTTCAGAGCCATTGAACGAATTGGTGGTTTGGAATTGGAAAGTGAGTATCCTTACCATGCCCGTAAGGAACAATGTCACTTCAACAAGGCCAAGGTTCATGTACGCGTTAAGGGTCATGTTGATTTGCCCAAAAACGAAACAGCTATGGCTCAATGGTTAATCAAGAATGGTCCAATTTCAATTGGTAAGTGTTTTGGTCCTCCGTCAAGCCCCATTCCATCACTCATTTAAATTTTTTGTTTCGCCTCTTCTTTCAGGTATTAATGCCAATGCTATGCAATTCTATCGTGGTGGTGTTTCACATCCCTGGCGTCCATTGTGCTCTCACAGTAATCTCGATCATGGTGTCTTAATTGTCGGCTATGGTGTTTCCGATTATCCAATGTTCAATAAAACTCTACCCTATTGGATTGTGAAGAATTCCTGGGGCAGCAAATGGGGTGAACAGGGTTATTATCGTGTTTATCGTGGCGATAATACTTGCGGTGTTAGTGAAATGGCTAGCAGTGCTGTTTTGGCCGATGATTAGGATTTGTGGTCTCAAAATTTTTAATACTTCTATAAAACATAAAAAACATATATACACATTCATACCCATCATCGACCACATACATATTTGGGGGAATTCACAGTACCAACAACAATAATTGCAACAAACTATGGTACCACATTACATACACCATACTCCAAATACAATTAAAAATATCATCAAACACAAACTCAGCTGGGCAGATGGAAATGGAATTCATTTATTGAAAAAACAATAACAACCAATTTACAAACAAACACACGACCACATATTTTATATAATAGTAATTAAAATAATGGATTGTAAAATCAATAAAAAAGGTGTGCAAATCTCTTTGATAATTCTCTTAATATAGAATACTATAGAACACCATTCTGCCCCGGCCCGTTTCCCCCCTTCATACAGGCATTTATTGTATACTCTTCCTATATATAATCGACATCAAACTCCCCATACAACCCCTCACAACAAAACTCAATAAAAATTCATTTCGATTTCATATTTGTATAACTTTATTTTTGTTTGTTTGTTTTTTTTAAGCTACGTTCATACATACAAACAAACGAACGAGCATTAATTAGCAGCAATAACACTCTGTTGTTTATCAAATTACTAGAGCCGATTCATAATCCACTTACATGTCGTCGTCTTCGTATTCTTGTATTGTTAGCTACCCATTGGCATATTTTGTTAACGAAAGTGTAGTGCGTAAAATGTAAATCATTATAAACAGAAAAAAAATTAATTAATAAAAATATACATTTGAAAAAATAAAAAAATAAAACTTTTAAAATGGACTTGTGTGTTTTAATCATTCTCGTATTCACTTAATTTGAGCAACAACAAACGTAATTTGCGTGCCTCCAGGCCAATGGTCAAAGGTTCGGCCGGTACTTCATCGGATGCGCTGTAAATGTTGGCTGGCGTAAAGATGCCATTAACTGAAATGGAAATAATTAAAACAGTAATATTATACTCTGATCTATATATAGAGTATAAGTTGAACAAGCAAAAAGGCCACTTAATTAAAAATAATGCGAAAAATGTTATAAATTTTCATTTAATTTGATGAACATTTTTTTATGTTGAAACATTTATTCATTGTTGCATTCATACATGAAATGTAATGAAATGGTTATATGAGGAGAAAAAATGTAATTTAAATAACTCATTTGCAGTATACCAATATAGAAATGATATATCCGAAATACCATTGAAATGCTCTTTTTTTAATTATACTATTAAAATAGATAACATTTTACATGTATTTACATTTTACATGCGTTTCTGTTCGGATTTATCGAATCGGTATTTAAATTGTGGGTATATGTTTAAATGTACTAGCTGTAGTTTTTTAGGACTCGATTTAGTAGTAGTGGACTCAATCAGTGTAGAACAGATAGAATTAATGAAAATGGTTTATGTCCAGTCCGGTTGCAATTGTAGTAATATGCATGACATGAGATGTACGTTTTAGCAGCCCTTGTAGGCTGCCACCTCAACAAATACGTGGAAATTATCTTTGTCACGGGTGTGGCATTATATACCGGAATGCATTTGGTCCATCCCGCCTGATTTTTACCACTTGCTATATATGGCCGATGAAGAAAAGATTCCGATCACCAAATACCCTATCATATTTTGTGTATGTGTATATTCGGCGAATCCAAGGCGCTTCGTCCTGATAAAATCTAAATTTTAAATTATGGTGATGTTGGAGCACCTTGGTAAGCCAGAAGTAGAGTACCTAACCGAAGTCCTCAATTTCGTATACGTACTGTAAGGTGGAATCGTTATATTTAACTTTAAATTTGAGTTATAAATTGGCTTCAATTGCCAATGAAAATAAAAAATAAAAATTTGTCGGAAAGATTAGTAAGATAAATCATCCTTGTTTGGCTACAGCAAGGATGCCAGCAAAGGTGAATCTACAGGTGGATCTAACTTTTATGTTCAGTCGCCATGCTTTGATATATCATCCTCCACTTAATCTTTCTATCGAATTCGTGGCCTTCCCCTTCTGTGTTCAGTAGGCTTTTACACGCCTTTTGAGCTGGGGTATTTTTCTCTCAAACACTCCAAGTGCTGCCTCATCTGCTTGCGCAAGCATCCATGCTTCTGATCCATACAGCAACAGGGCAGTATCAGCGTCTTGTAGAGGATGCCTTGCTTCTAAACTGCTTACTTAGACCAAAGTAGCATCTGTTGGCCACCACTATTCTTCTCCGGATTTCAAAAATCTTTGACTACCTCGAAGCTGTAGTTTTCAAATTCCACAGTTCTTTCGAGGCTGCTGGACACCTTTCGCGTTGATACCATCAGCTTGGTGTACAGAGTGTCATTTCTTTTCACTTTTGCATCTCGTTTGACCTTTTCCCGCAGGGTGTTAAAAGGTCACACGACAAAATGTCACCTTGTCTGAATCCTCGTTCGATATTGAAGGGCTCCGATAGATCCCTCCCGACTTTAACTGCTGTCCTTAAGTCACTTCAAGTTATTCTGCATAGCCGTACTAATTTTGCAGGAATGCCGAACGCAGACATGGCTTTAACATCTCTGCGCGGATTGGGCTGTCGAATGCGGCTTTATATTCGACGAATAGGTGAAATGTGTCCAAATTGTTTTTCGTGGGCCTTTTCCAAGGTTTGGGTCTTTCAATGGTGGACTTGCCAAGCTTGAAGCCGCATTGGTATGGTCAAATAATGTTATTGACCATTGGCTTCTGTCGCTCACGCGGTACGCTGGATTGCAATTTATATGCGATGTGAAGGAGACTAATTCCTCTATAGTTAGCACATATCCTGAGGTTCCAATCATTGGCAAGCATTCCTCTAGCTAGGCATTGCTACTCCCTGGTATTCGTGAGTGCTACCCAGTTGCCGATCATCAGCACAAATTTAGGAAGCAGCACAGTACAAAATGCATGCAACGAAAGGTTTCAAAGGCCGCGTGATAGAGCAGTTATGGTGGAAAAGGCATTTGTTACAGTTAATCATGTCAAAATGTTCGAAGAAGTCGAAGGATTACCCTCTTGCTAAGATTGAACGTAGGATTCAAAATTATATGTCCGGACGCCAGCCGTACGTGAAATTTAAAAATTAGAAGTCAGAGATCCATAGAATGATATATGGAGTTCCTCAAGCACCTGACGGCATTAGGATCATTAAGTACGCCGATGCTTGTACGATCATGGCATCTGGACCAACACTTGAAGACAGGTTGAATAACGTTCTCATAGACATATCGGAGTTTTTCCATACAAGAAAAAATCGACACAAAGTAAACGGACGAAATGTTTACCACATGGACAGTAGAGGACGATGGGTCCATAATTCTGACCACTAATATTATGTGAACGTGGATTAATGGCATGATGCATAATATCGGTCCGAAATGGCCCTCATAACACCTATTGAATAGCGGATTGAATATGATTCGGATTAAGCAGAACATATTAGGTGTAATGTCTGAGCAAGTCACTGATAATTGCTACAAAATGAAAAGTGTGAAAAACGTTCTCAAGTTGCTGGCCGGTATCACTTGGAGTGCTTAAAAGGAGACCTGAGCTTATAAGGCCTTATTCATTGGAAACAACAGCAATGGTGAGAAAGAGGGTTCGGTCCTCAAAGAATCTCTTACATACAATTAAATGTTGGGATGGCGTACACGTTTTTTTCAGATCAATTATGTTATCTGCCTTAGATCATTCCAAACATATAAATGTCAATAATCTTACATAATACCTACATCTATTTCATAATATAATAAACAATATCACTTCGTGATCCACTCACCTTCACACGATTTCAAAAAGCTCATAACTTCCTGCACCGATGGATATGCCAAAATAATATTTTGTTTTGCCATTCCAGTCAGCAGACCCAAAATGCAACGTTTAACATGCAACCATGTGTCGGCATACAACCGAGCACCTGAACCATTTTCCAAGGCGTGAGCGATGCGTGACAAACCGAATTCATAATTCGATTTGGCACAGTACAAAGTGCCCACGACCAAATTCACAATACACAAATGATGATATTGTTTGCCCAAATTGCCTTTTAGCTCCTCAGCTTTTTCCACTTTGCGCATTAACTCTTCGGCCTCTTCGTTTTGAAAGGTCATTATATACGAGACACATAAGTTGGCCAAAACTGCAGCGGACACTGACATAATCTATAATAGAAAAACAATTTAATTTAATAAGACATTTTACAAAAAAATAATAATAATAAATGATCATTTTGCGCACATCATCTCCATGCTGTCGAACAATGGGTTCATAAAACGCCGCTGCTTCTTTGTACTTATCACCCTGCATGAAAAGTACATGTCCGGCATTTAAACGCCATATGGGATTTTCCGAACAAAATTCAGCACTCGAACGAAATTCTCTTTCTGCTCCAACGAAATCATCATCACGCCACGAGATCCAAGCACGGGCCATGACCACGGGTAAATATCTGAAATTTCATTCTTTATAACAAAGCAAAATCGAAAATCGCAAAATCAAACTGCAATGGTTTCTTACAATTCCAAAGCATTTTCATAGTCTTTCAATGCCGTCCTTAACGCATTCTGATCGGTGGTCGAACGTACTTCTTGAACTTTTGCAGCTAAGCTACGTAATTTTCCAGCCAAACTCGAGGCCAATGTTCCCAATTTCTTTTCAGCTGATTCAGCGGAGGCCTGTGCCGTTATCAAGGCATCCAACAGTTCATAGAGATACTAAGGGGAACAATTATTTGATTATTTCACATTATATTTCTCTTCGGTTTTTGAAGATTTACTTGCGATAAATATTTGTAGGTCAAATCGGTGTGCTCCGCCAAAATATCCGCTGCCGTTTCGTACAATTCATGTTTGCAACAAATTAAAAGAATATTGGCGAAGGTTTCTTTGGGACATGCCGGAGGACCCAAGTCAAGAAGAAATGCCAGTTTTCTTAAACCAGCCACTGGTCCCTGGGGATCGGTTAAGGCCATATTGTGCAATGTCACCGGATCCAATTCACTTTCAGCTCTTGGTGGTAAATCCAAAAGTGCATCTCTGGCCGCATCAACTGTTGGGGAAAAATTATAAGTTCATAATTCTCACGCTTGCTATGATCTATACGAAATATACCCCATGAAACTCAACCAATCTTGCCTAAAATATAATACCCTACGTAACCAGCTGCATACGATATTAATAACTTTTAAATCGAAAAGATACATTCCGCTTGCAACCTGGCAACTAAACCGACATGAAGTCCTCTTAAGAACATGATTAATAAAACAAACAATGAAAGTCCCAAGTTTTCAAGATCCATGTCGAAATTGATTATCGCACTTTAAATTTTTAAAATGTCTATGATTTTTACCTTTCCAGATCATCTCCATCGTGCAAAATTTGGTGGTAACACAATAATGTTCTGAGTAGAACCCAATCGTACTTTGTTCTGGTACCACCGTCTGGTACTAAGGGGACTTCAATGCACACCATGAATTGTGACACTCCGTCCTAGGTAATGACTAGAGAGGAAGAGTGACATCAGTAATTTCAGAATACCTCCTCTATTGGTCCTCATCTGCAAAGGAAAGCTGGAAGGGATTCGGAGAGCTCACTAATCATTTTCATCACTTGATGCACCGGTAGCAGAAAGAAAATTGTGGGACATTATTGCAGCTGCAACCGCTAGATTTATTCCTGCTGGTCGAATACCCGAGAAGAGGCCGAATTTTCCAGCTGATGTAGGACAATCAAAAGAGCATGATGAGTTTGGTCCATCTGACACCGCAGATCTCAGGGTAAGGGAACTCACTTAAATCGCGTCTAAAGTGTTGCAACATTCGAGCCGGTGTGAGTAGATTGTGGGCAACGGTTAAGTCGCATCTAATCCCGGTAAGATGGATAAGAAGATATCCGACACATTTAACGACGAAACTGTGAATTATCCGAAGAGATGTGCGAGTTATTTCAACCGACAGTTTTTCCAGCATTCCGAGAACGACAGGGTAAAACTAGAAGTACTTTGTCATATACGGTCTCTTTCTGTCAAGAAGGTACAACCACAATTTACAATGGCTGATGATGCAAGCGTCATCCGACGACATCTCTATGGTAATGCTGAAATAGTTGAATGAGCTGACTAACGTCCTTAATTTATCGATAGCCATCCACTTCGTTTACAAAGCTTACGAAACCAGACAAGGTCTCACGTTTGCCACAAGTAGCGTCGACCGTCGAATATGCCATACTGTTTGAAGACGTCGAGAATACTTCCCTCCGATCAAGTTTGAAACTTGTATAATCAATTATTTTATGGATGCCAGCCTTAAGTGATGCCACGGAGTAACGTAGAGAATTCCCAAAGGTGTGTGATATCTTCGAAGCCGTTTTACATATACCTTAACGATATTCCAAGGCACCCAGATGAAATTGAGATCGGGTCCTGGGTTCCAAGGCACCCAGATGACATTGAAATCGGGTCCTATCGTTGAGGACATATGTGCAAGGCTGAACACCTATATTCATCCATCCGAGGAATATAGGAGCTGCGGAGATGAAAATACCTTGAATTTGCAGGTCGAGGGCACACAATTTCGACCCCTAACCCAAAATGATCTTGAGCACAACTGATATCATGTTTAAATCGTCCTCGAAAACCACAGCTATCAGGATAACTAAATAATTTGGATGAAGGTCCTCAAAAAGGTCCGCTTGCCTGTATCACTTGGGACGCATATCAGAGTGGACAGAGTGAATGTCGTCTTAGGATTTCACCCCCACTGCTGCCTAAACAAACCAGACTACATACTTTTGAACAATTTCAAAATATACCCACTTTCTGGAATATCTCCAATATAACGGGACTGTTGCATTTTTCTGAATTTGGAGGGGTTTTTGGGCTGTATTTTCCAACTACAGGGTCTGAAAATTGATCCATGTTTCTACACACCTTCATACAAATTTCACGGGATGTTAAAGGTCCAATCTTTATTTGGCTATTCCCATATAAAGATCCCGAACGATTTTAAATATCCTCCTCCTCCTCCTCATTGTGGAGGGTATGACAAGTTCGACAATTTATTATTTGCAATATTTTTTTCTTCTTCGTCATTTAGAACGATATTCAGTATTTTGATACGTTATTAAATTAAAATGCCCCACATAAATTTCTGAATTCAAATTTAAATAGATTAGATAAATAAAAATGTTAACCTACCATTTCCATCATTATATTCAATGGCCGCTTTCAAATTAAGAGCCTGGGTTATGCCGGACAAAGCCATTGTTATGGGATTACCGACACTTCGGGCACTGCCATCGGTGTCAATTTGGGCACCGATTCCCAATTCCGGATGATTTCTGATACCACGTTCCACAATTTCAGCTGAAAACGAAAAACACCAATTAAGCTCTATATACCCAAAAATATCTCTGACAAATACCTGTGTAATCTATAGCCTGGGTCTTTTCCTTTTTACGAAAATGCGATAATGCCAAATTGTAAGCAATCAAAGGATTAAAGCCTCCAACTTGTAGAGCCGTATTGAACCTCTGCACAGCACTATCGTATTGATCAGCCTGATAGAGAAGACAACCTTCATCGTTGAGGGTCTCAGCTGTGCCAATACTGCGTTGATTCAAAACACTTTGAGCTCCAGCATAATCTTCACTTGAATACAGAATTGCGCTTTGCAACTGCAGACATTGTTCCTTGAGTTCTGCATTGTCACCGATTTGCTTCAGGACTTTTAAGGCATCGGCAAATATTCCGGCCTGGTATAGAGATTGAGCATAATAGAATCTATGAGTAATGGAGAAAAGAACTCATAATGAAAATCTCGATATAAATAATATTGACTCACTTATATTTAGCCACCTTGGGCACCAAATTACACAGCTGTTCATAGCAGGTGGCCGCCTCTTCATATTTCTGGGCATGATAATAACAATAGCCCAATGTAGACAGACCGGCTCTGGTATTGGCAGCCTCACCCAAATTTATAATGCACTCAATGACATCCTCATAACGTTTATCCTTAATCTTAAATAAAAAATAGACAATAATAATTATTGCCGGTTATTAATTTCTGTTTTGGGTATGGGCCAGAAAATGTGTGCATACATACCAGATTGTAAATAGTACGTGTTATATGACCTTCGCGAAGGATTATGCCTTGATGCAGCATTTTCTATTATCCTCTCATTAAATGTCTCGAGTATTTTATGTTTATATTTTTTTATTTTATTTTTCTTTCCTGCCTTTCGTGTGTTTTAATGCTTTGACTTGTCAGTGGTTTTTTGTTCTGTATTAAATTTTCAAAGGCCTAGAATGCAGTTTCCATGGAAATATTTCAAGTGCAGGTGGTTGCTAAGCAGCCTACTTAACAGATGAGAGAACAAATATCAACCCTAAAATAAAATAATTTTGGTCGTTATTTTTTCATGTTTACAAATTAAGAAAATAGATATGTGCGATTTATTTATCGAATATTGAACCATTATGTGGCACTGTGGAACAGTATATTGGTTCCATATTTCTTTTTGCAAAAAAAAAAGACTCAGTGTGATCCGATTTATGTCCAATATTAGCACATGCACATAGGCCTGTAAGTGGCCTGTTGTGCGCTCTAGAGTAGGAAGAAAGTTAGAAGAAGCCATCCTTGGATATGATTGTCCTAAAGTTTTTTCATTCGGTTATTTCACGAAATGTGTCATTGGCTAGGAATTGGGTTGGGAAGCTTAAAAAGGCACAGGAAATGTTCTAACGTTTCGCTGTCTACACCACACGCTCTGCACCAGTTGACGTATCTAAGATTGTGTAAGTGGACCCGCAGGCTGTTATGTCCCGTGAGAATACCGCTTAGTCAGCTGATTCCCCTATTGTTTAGTATTAAGATATGTTTTTTCTTATCCTCGTTTGGGTCTCCCAATAAAATGTTTAGGTTTATCCCAGTCACATCGTTATTTCAAAGAATTTTGTGGATTTACCCATGACCTTAGTCTAGACCTTAGTTATTCTATGAAAAATCTCTTTCACGACTTCCCAGCTAGTTGGGAGCCATCTGTGTAACAACAGTTACCAGGGAACATGTTTCTTAGTGTTCACATGTTGTGACTATTCTTATTTCAGGTGTTCGCTCCGACTCAAAATTCCTAATTGAGGATCCGATTGAGGTCTGTAATATATTTTGTTGCGGTCCATTCTGTCCGGTATCGATCCACTCGTTCATAGCTTTAAGTCTAAAAGCTGCGACGTCCGCTTAAAATCTTAATTTACATTACACTTTTTGTACATTGCTGTACACCAGACCACCGAGACGTATGTTAGAATTTGTCTAATAACGCTCTTATAGATCCAGTGTATCATCTTTAGAGCCTACAGTTCTTCTGCAAAAGAACAATTTGTTCTTTCCATAAACGTTTTCTGTCTATGATTACCCCCAGATATTTAATTTTATTTAATATGGAAATATATTATCTTTCTAGTAAAGAGACATATCTCCGTCTTGGCCGGATTTACCTTAAGGCCCCCAGCCTCGCCCAATTATAAGCAATGTTTAACACCGTTTCAGCCTTCCTACATAACAAGTTAGGATTCTTTCCCCTCAGAAGTATTATAACATCGTCTGCATAACAGTCGGATTCAAATCCCTCCTCAGTAAAGATGCTATTGATAGTGGTAACCCACAGCTGTGGAGATAAAATCCTTCCCTGCGGTGTACCTTGTCCCTGATATTTATGTCTTGTCCATCCATCTATTCCTTGCCTGATCATCTTGAAAGTTCTCTAAGGATTGGATAAGTATTTCTGTTTCGACATTATTGAAAGCTACATAGATATCAATACATACAGCTAAAGTAAACATTTTCCTCTCGAAGGTGCTTTCAATGTGATGTACCACTTCTGCAGAGCGGTTTCCATTTATCTTCCCTTTACATACGCGCGTTGTTTGTACGTTAGCGGACCGCTCTCGGGATGCTCGAAAAACTGTCGGTTAAAATAACTCGGGCATCTCTTCAGTCACAGTTTCGTGGTTAAATGTGTCTTAGGTCCTATCATCCATATTACCAGGGTTCGAGAGCGACATAACAGTTGCCCATAGTTTACTTACACCAGTACCGATGTTGCAACTCTTCAGGTGCTACAACCATTTATTCCGCTTATGCTCCGCGACTAATCTGCTGGGTTAGATCGATGGAGCTCATATCGCTCATTTGCTAGACCAATATAATTCGTAACAAGTATTTCGGGATATGTTGCTCCCGGTACAGAAAAACAATACAAACACATACAAATGTGTTGGCAGCCGCTGGTCGAATAGAATCTGGTCAATCCGGTATCGTAGAACCCGTTGCCGTGGGATTGTAAATTTTGTTTTGCGGCATTGGTTTGGTTCAAAAAAAAAAAATGAACGAAAAAGCCTCCAAGGCTATTAAACTTCCACGAAATTACTTTTACATCGGTCAGGACCTTTGTATTGACACTATATCATAGCATTCAGGCACTTTTGTGTGAAACTGAGTTAGTTACCGCAACATATCACAACATATCGGTGTAAAAATGTAATGAATCCTTTATAAGCGGCGTACTCTTCCTATGTTTTTCTCCTACCCAAAAACCTAGAATGCCAAATTACAATAACTTTGGAGGGAGAATGCGGCTAAAACAAAAAAAATCGAAATTGGGGCGGGACCATTATATGAGGAATATGTACAAAACATGGACCTACATTGATAACTTTCTGCATAAATATAAGTCAGAAATATATAAATTTTTTCTGGAAAAGATTTAAAGTACCAAACACGGAATTAGGGTAATGCGAAAACTCTACATATTTCACCTTATCCGGACAGGTATAAAAAAGTGGCCGTCGATTACATTAATACCTTGGCTTAGATAATGCCATCATGTAAATCGAGGAGACCCACAGGGTGTAAACCTTTAACACATCCGCTTAATTGATTTAATGTAGGTGTGGAATATTTTGATGAAAATTAATATTCTGTTCGCTTCATATCAGATTTACAAGTTTTCAAAATATTGACCCTTTGTGGGGGATGTACTAGAATGAGTGGACCGATAAGTTCCATCTCCCAAACTATATAGGCATGGTTAAAATATTAGGTCGCAAGATATAAATCATATCTCAGCGAATTTTTGAGAATTTGAACTTGATATGGATGAAATCGGTTACTCCCTTTGAGAATGCGCACTAGCCGGCTATTTGTAAGACGACACGAAATTGTGTGGAGCGGATTTAGTCCAAAGAAACATGGGGTCTAACATTTTTACTGTTTCAAACTGTATATACCCTCGATAGCCATAAGCCCACCAACCAATGGAATTAAATAATTTTTGAGCTTGATGTCATTTCATTGCTTAATTGTGTACTTTTTCCAATTTATTCGCCACGATTAATGTCTAAATATCACATTGTAAACAGACATCTTGTGAAAGGGACCAGAACATTCATTAAATTTCTACAGGTCGAAACATGCGTACAATATTAGTCAATTTTTGTTGGTATTTTGAACCTGAAATCCAATTCTGTCATCTGCCCCTGAAATTTTCTAGATAATACCTCAATCATAAAACACCGGAGATTTGACAGCCAAGAAATGCCTCGACTTTAAGACGACGTCAACGAAGTGAAATGCAGTAACGAATATTTACAACATTAAATTACAATCTAGAGAATAAAGCAATGCACTATAGGTCAAACTGGCAATTTTTGTGGCCAAAAGTCATAAAATTGAAAAAAATTATTGAGTTTCAACTAGAGTAAGTTATTAATGTATTGCATCCATGGTCGTATGCAGGGTTTCGAAAAGGAAAGGGGGGGGCGGTTTGTGATAAGTTCGGTGGTTGTAAAAAAATGAAAAATTTTCTGTTGCAAAAAAAATTAGGTAAACAAAAACAATTCGAGCGGCGTCAAGCTCCAAAGACACCCCTCCACTTTGCTACGTCTGTGATTACATATATTACTTAAATGCAGTCCGTTTCATTTTCTAAATCTAAGTCATTAAGAATATTTATATACGTTGTAGGCCGTCTTTATTGAACTCATCGCTCTTATTATGTTCTGTTTTAAAGATTCCAATTCATAAATACAATTTTGAAATTTTTACATTTCAAGCTTTAACGTTTTCACTGCATGCGCTTGATTAAGCTAATTGATGATATTAAAGGATCTAATGTACCCAAGGCTCTAGTAAATATATCTAAGATGTTATTCATTCGGCTGCTCTTACGAGCGTGATGTAACCTGTCGGGCTTATACAATTTATGCCTAGCTTCAGCAGCATCTTCTCCAAGAACCTCTAATGGAAGTACACAAATTTCCATTATTTGCGTCGAATGAATTTGTACCTTATGAACTGTAGCGTCATGGACAACCAGAAATATTTCGTCAATATTAAATTAGCTGTTTCATAACAATAAGTTCGAAATATGTTTAAATCTAATTAGAACTGGCATAATAATAAAATTAAAATAATTTTGAGGCGGAATATGCGATTTAGCTTTACTCCAGTTATTTCAGATTCAAATTAATCAGTATTTCGGTAAATGGTTTAAAATACAAAAATGGTAATAACTAAAAAATCCGCACAAATCCGCAAAACCACATTAGATTATTTAGATTAAACACGCTTCAATAAACAAATATCAATTATAATTTCAATTGCCAAACGTTGCCCACGGATTTACGGCATTCATAACCTCAAAGTTTAAAAATTTCTGCGATCAATCTAAAGTTACGCTTGTTTTAATACTACTTGTACACATACACATATGTATGTATACATTTTATGATAAAAAATATCGAATACTTTCTTATTAATTCTCTACTTATATTTATACTTATATTTTATTTCCACTTTAAATCTTAACAAGTACCATACCAAATGAATACATTTTTTAGAATATTTTAATAATTCACGTTTGACAGCTTGCCATGTAACGTTATAAGTGATTATGCAAAAATAAAATTCATTTTTATTTGTTTTGAAGTGTTCCTTACTCGTTTGTAACTCAAAATAAGTGATAAGATAATGTGTGAAATTCGACTTTTGGCCAGTAAAATAGTCTGTTTGACCTATAGTGCAATGTACCGAATGGAGTTCATTCAATGACCCAATCAACATTGTTATGTCTCCAATGTAGAAATGTTTGCCAAGCCATAAATTCTGTCTATTTCATTTCAATTCACATATTTTCTCCCTTTATGATCTTCGTGAGTATTTTTTGTCGTGGGCTACCAAAAACATTGTATGATTTCGTTTTACAGGCAGCCACCTTATCTAAGCGAATTCCTAGTAACTCATCGTAAAACCAACAATGGATGAATTGTTTGGAGTTTTTTGCGAAAGTACCCCTCATATTTTTTTGATGATGATTCTCTTTTCTTCAGAATAAACAGTTTGTTACATTACATTATCGTGTGTGGTAGAGAAACGCTAGCGGCACTGTGATAAGATATCGGGACACACACCCGATTTATTTTATGGCAAAGCCAACAAATAATTTTGAAAATAAAGTTTCGATCAGATACCAACAACAGCTACTGCATTTAGAATGGATTGCTCCACAACAACAGTTGGCCATTACATTTTCCTAATCGTGGTGGTGTTAAACAGATCGCTTAAAATTCATGGTGCCAGCGACTATGACGATTGCTTCGACCGTTACACATTGGCCCAAAACGAAAATGTATTGAAATATCAAAATTCTACTTTGGCCTGCAGAAATGAAAGCAATGTGGAAAATACCCAACCAGTAGTTGCCACATCTAGTTATGATCTTGAATGGGAAAAGGAACATTTCGCCCAGACTACAGATGAAATGTGCAACAACATGAAAGTCTGTGAGAGTGTTGAAGATCCTGGTGATTCATTGCGGTGCTATATAGAGGCGGTAAGTGGCGGTTTCTTAATTTTGAAGGATTTCAATTTGAATGATTTTTAATTTTAGACAAGAGAGGGTTTCCACACTTCCATGGATATGCATTTTAATGCCTCGCTGATTGTCATCGAACTTAACGAGGATTATGAGGAGAAGGATAAAGCCGTCATGAGATGCATTCAAAAGTCAAAAGAATCATTTGTAGAAGAATCCCTAGCTGCATATCATCGATTACTTCAGTGTCTGGAATATGGATTTCTTTTGGATTGAGCTAATTTTTAATTTAACGGAAATTAGGCTATGAAAAAATAATAGAAAATAATGTTTTTCTCGATTTCGGTTAAAATAGCACAACTGGAATAAAATATCGTAGAGTGTTCAATACAGGATATAACAATGTTGTGACTTTTTAATTAAGAAAGTTTTTGCAAACAATCTACATTTACTTCGATATACATACTTAGTTCAATGACTTTCCAATCTATTTACAAATTTTGACTCTTTGAAGGTACAGTCAAATCTGCTTCATTAAAAGTGGCCAAATGCATTGAATTTATTTCAATTATCTGAGTTTTTGCGAAGTCTGTATAATTGATATGTGTTTCATTTAACCGAAGTTCTTCTCCATCTTATCTCATTCACCAATTTCGGATCCCCCTGCAAATGATTTTTATTTTTGAAAATTTTCCAAAAAAATCCACTTTTGCAATGTAGAAGTTATTTTGGTACAATGCTCTTCCGGTATTCATATTTAAAAGATCAATGATCCCATGATCTAATGGCTGAATTAATGACGTCGAAGTGGTGGCCAAAATACCTTGTTTAAAGAACTTTTAGGTTCAAACCTATTTTGTCAATTAACCAGAGTTTTCAATTAAATGTGTTGTAATTAAGTGAATTCGACTGTATACACCTTATTACTCACTTATTTTACGTATATGTAGGATATAATATGTCATAAAATTTCAAATCGATCGGAAAAAAATTTGAGGATTTATGTTTTCATACCCTGTGGTACACGGTATAATGTCTTTGTGCATATGTTTGTAACAGGCAAAAGCAATCGATATAGACCCATGGTTCCTTTTGAGAATATGCATAGAATCAATTTCTGAGTCGATTTACGCATGTCTGTCCGTCCGTCCATGTATTTTTGTGAACAAAGTACAGCTCGCATTTATGATTCAAATTGGACGAAATTTGGCACAGCTCATTTATTTGGCCCAAGGACGAACCCTATTGAAATTCGGTTCAGATTTAGATATAGCTCCCATATGCATAAAATCGTGCGATTTTATGTAAATGGTGTACCAAATTTCCAATATTGGTCCGATTGAGACAAAATTTTGCACAGAGTACTGAATTAGGTCTAGATTGATGTATGCCAAGTTTTGTTGAAATGGGTTCAGATTTAAATATAGCCCTCATATATAGTTTCGTCAATTTTATGTAAAGGGAGTACCATACTGCCAGTATTGGTCCGATTGAGACAAAATTTTGCACAGAGTACTGAATTATGTCCAGATTGATGTACGCGAAGTATTGTTGGAATCAGTTAAGATTTGGATATAGCTCCCATATATTTTTTCGTTCGATTTTATGTAAATGGAGCACAAAAGAGTTAAATTTAGGTTGATTTGGACAAAAGATGGCACAGCGTACTGAATTAGGTCCAAATTCATGTATGCGAAGTTTTGCTGGAATCGATTCTGATTTAGATATAATGGTGCACCATAATGTAAATGTTTATCCGATTTAGACAACATTTTGCATAGCGTATTGAAGTTACTACAGGTTGACATCGGTATTGAAATTACTGCAGGTTGACGTCCGCGAAATTTTGTGGAAATCAATTCAGATTTTGATATAGCTCTTATATATATTTTCGTCCGATTTTGTGTAAATAAAGCAGAATAGTGCAATCTTTGTCCGATTAAGACAAAATTTTGCACAGCGTACTGAATTAGGTCTGGATTGATCTTGGAACCGGTTCAGATTTAGATACAGCTCCCATATAAAAGACTAGGAAACGATATAGAAAAAGTTTTTGGTTCATGCCATTTCCTAAATATCATCTGAAAATAAAAATCCCTAAAAGAGTTTCATTTTTAACGGAAAAAATAACAATCATTTTTAACAGTTAAAAATCGACGTTTATTTTTTCCGTTGAATAATAATCCTTAACGTGGGAACTGAGAATGTTTTCTCAAGATCACTCAGTATCCTTAATGGGCTCCTCAATACGAATCTATTGGTATATGACACTATAGGTGTCCCATGTCTCTAACATGAAGATTTTTTTGTTTGCATTTAAAAAAAATCTGCTATTTTCGGTCCCTGCATTAAGTGGATTAGATCATAAAAAAATCTTTATATAAACATTTTATAATTCTTGATTCTTTGATAACATTTTAGTTCGAACTCATTACATTGGAACTGTACTGTTGCGTACCAACACTTCTTGGCACAGAAACTTCGTCCCCAAATTTCTCCGCAATAATTTTTGTTTCCATGTATATTTTGTGGAACTTCTCGTCACTATTTTGTTGTATAGCATTTAACTACTAGATGCTTTGACAATGTCCCTGCCAATGTCTGAAGAAACTGGGACAAGTGTAGGGTGTACTCAAGTAAGCAACAGAAAAAAAGTATAATTTCATATGTTAATATTATTTTTTATTATGTAATAAGAAGTGTAATATCTAACATCCATTATTTATTTATTAGAAATAAATCCAAATTAAATCATACCATTTCCCCTATTTCTTCCAAAGATTCTATTATCTCTTCTATAGACAATGTCTTCCATTTCACACAATAAAATTGTCTCAATGACATTAACTTTATACGTTTGTTCTTGCAATGTATCGTCCATACCATGTTCCATACGTTTTGAAACATCTCATCGTTGCATCTGAATAAGCAATCTAAGAAAACCGATCGAATCATTTTTTTAATTTTTTTTTATTTGTAACTCAAAATCTTTGGCTGAGTGTACTTAAATATAGTTTTTAAGTTGTCCGTAATGGACGTTTCTCAGGTCTTTTTGAAAAGTATTTAATCGAATGTGGTAGTGTAAGTAACAAATATTTAGATAACTGAAGCCACGACATATTCGACACACTTGGTTTTTCTGTTTGAGCCGATTTACAGCCTGTTTTTTGTAAAATTCATAACGAACGAATTCGTGTGGCCTACGACCAAACTCATTCGTTTTGGAAAATAAGGCACTTGTTTTTTGTTTTGAATGAAAAACCATTTTTTACGTAAATAAATTAATGATTTCAAACTCATACACATGTAAATATATTTGATATTTATCAAGAAATTTATATAAATTCTGAAAATTAAAAATTTTCTGTTGCAAAAGTAAACTTATTTAAAAAATTGTATTTCTTTATTTTATTTTATTCCAAAAATTGTTATATTTATTTATTTATTTCTAATTTATTGTCATCTAACTGTGACATGAGGTCGAATAATAAAACACAATTTTTATTATAAATTAACATAATTTATTAATAAATATAATAATTTTAAGTAAATAAAAATTAATCTATAATAACATAAATGATTTCACAAAGTACAATTTGTCAAATTGGGAGATTCTAATTGACGTTCTTAGGTTGGTGTGCATGTAAAATATATACAACAGATTCACCAGAATCCTGTGGATTTGCCACCAGGTGGATTATGTACTTTTACCGATGTACGGTGACCATTTTGTTGTTGCGGAGCCTCTTCTATAAAATCTGAAACTAAACGTTAAATAGAAAATATTAAATAATGCATAGAAAATGTTAATTATATATACAAAATATTAAAAATATGCATATAATGTACATAAGTCCCAATTTAGATTGGGCGGGTTTACTTGCGGCAAGTCTTTGTTTGCAGGGGGAATAGAAATGGAAAAAAATTGTTCGTACCGGCAATTTTCTGGCAATTCGTTTTTGTGTATTTTGTTTGTAGTGTCAGTAATTTGAAATACCAATCCGGAACATTTTCGAACATAAAACACATTCACAAAATGTTAAAAAAAAAATAGTTTTGAAATCGAATTGCCTTGTATAGACGCATGAATCTAGTTGGAAAAAGAATGATAAAAATTGCCGCAAGAAAATTCGCCTAATCTAAATCAGGAGTAACTGTAGACTTTATATTTATAAAAGGTATGAGTGACAATCAGCTTGTTTTATTTTTTTTTTTTGTAAAATAAATTGTCAGAATATATTAGGGTCTATACTGCGAACAATATTTTCTATAAACTTTTTTAAAATTGCTTTCAAACCGTTGGTGGGAGGTCGACGTTTGTACGAAATGGTACTAAATTTAGTACAATTTATGCATACACTACATATTAAAATGAATAAATTAAGAGTGGAGAGTGTTTAGGATTGGGATAAGTGACGGTGTTAGGAAATTAGCTTTATAAGTAAACGAAGAGTACTTCAATTAGTAAATTTGAAACAAAAATTAGGATTTGAGACAGTGCTTCATTTATTTCTTAAAACCGGCACAATTTTGCGTCATTTGCATACAAAAATAAATAACGATTCCAGCGCCTTTTATTTTAAACAACGCAGGAAAACACCATACATACTACGCAGTGCAATCCTGTTTTTAAAGTAGGTCTTCGGAGTTATACTCAGGTTTTATTATTCGATTTATATAAGGTATATGTTTAATTAAAGATGTTTCGGATTTTATGTTGATCAAATATATAATATTGACCCTTTGTGTAGGATGTACCAGAGGAGAGGGCAGATTGGTCCCACCTTCGAACTTGATCTAGGCTTGGTAAAGATAAAATGTTGTGCAAAATTTGGCTCAAATCGCTCATTCGCCTAATATTGGATTTATAAATATTGAACATGTTGATGACCATTTGTATGGGAGCTACCAGAAGGAGATGACCAATGGGTCCCATCTGTGGACTTGATCTAGACTTGATAAAGATAAGAGTTTGTGCAAAGCTTGGTTTAATCTGACATTTCATTCGTCTGATATTGGATTTATAAATAATGAAAATGTTGACTTTTTACGGGAGGTACCAGAAAGAGTGGTCCACTGGGTCTTTCTTCAAACTTGATATATTCTTGGTTCAGATAATAAGTTGTGCAAAGTTTGGTTCAAATCAAACATTCCATTCGCCTGATATTGGATTCATAAATATGAAAAATTTAGACCATTTGTGTGGGAGGTACCAGAAGTAGTGGACCAATGGATCCCATCTTCTGAATTGATCTAGGATATTCCAATCGCCTGATATTGGATTTATACGTATTGAAAATTTCGATCATTTGCGGAGGAGGTAACAGAAGCAGATGGCCAATGAGCCCCATCTTCAAACTTGATGTGGGCTAAGATATATATTGGATTCAAAAATATTAAAAATTTTGACCCCTTGTGGGGGAGGTACCAGAAGTAGTACACCGATGAGTCCCATCTCTAAACTTGATATAGGTTTGGTTAATAGAGCATGTTGTGCAAAATTGGGTTCAAATCAGATATTCCAATCGTCTGATATTGGATTTATAAATATTGAAAATGTTGACCATTTGTGGGGGAGGTACCAGAAGGAGTGGATTAAGGGGCCCCATCTTCTAGGCTTGGTAAAGATAATAGGCTGCGCAAAGTTTGGTTCAAATTGAACATTCCATTCGCCTGATATTGGATGAAAAATATAGAAAATTTTGGTTTGATTTGGAAATTATTTGTATTAGGGTAAGAAATATTTTAAATAATACTAAAATAAGTGCATTTAGTAGATGGTGGAACTTGATATTCGATAGATGGGTCGATATTAGCGTATAAGGTTAGGATATTGAGTAAGTGAATAAGTAGGAATCTTTTAATTTGTTATGGGACTTTTTAGGTATGGGTAACATTTACATAATTTATGTTCATAATTGTTGCCATGGTATAATAATAAAATAACAGCAAGTGTTGTTGTACAAAAAACGATACAACAACCACATGGAAATTTGTTGTTGTAAGATGTCAACTCATTTGACAGAAAAATGTAAACAAACAAATTATCATCAAATTATTTTTATTTTGAAAATGGAATAGCTATAAAAATTGGTGAAAACTTTTTATATTTCTATCTATTCCACATCTTTCCTAATTGAGCCATTGCCATATATATGGGTAACACATATGACAATGCTGGGAATAGCGAGTTATTCCTTCAAGAAAGATTTGCTTCCTCAAACTTTCCCAGCAGGCAGATTGAGTAAATTGAATACGGGAGCACATTAATAAAGAACAATTTCAAATTGTATGCGTTCCCAATTTTCCTGTTGGGTGATTTTTAAAAACATAATTTGTCAAATTCATATTGACACTAGTATTATGTTGGAATCAAATCAGCTGGGATTTGCTGTTACCTTTTATAATTATACATGAGGTGTACTTTTGATATTCTCCCTAAGACTGCTTTTCCACAGGCAAATTTTTATTTGGCATATACTGAGTTTGTAGGCGAGAGGGGTGCGAGGAAGAAAAACAAAAATTTGCCTGTTCAGAATTTGCCGTACACGCAAATTCTGCTTTGCTCTGTTCGTTGAAAACAATTTTGTTGATATTTCCTTTTGAGCCTATTCGCTTTACTGACACACAGCCGGCTTTTGTTTACAAACCTGTTGCTTTAATTTGTGGAAGTGAAATTTAATTTTTAATTTTTGCAATTTATATAATAAGATATATAAAAAAAATAAAATATTAAAAAAATCTTTAAAATGCAAACACTTTTGACTTTTATTTTCTTTCTTTTGTATTTTGATTCGCAAATTTGGCAAAGAAAAATTTGCTAATGGAAAAGCAAGCGAAAATTTCAAAAGAGAAAACAAAAAATTTGCCAAATAAAAATCTGCCTGTGGAAAAGCAGACTAAACATCATTAATATTTATGTAACATGCGATACCAAGATGCCAAAAAAATCGATTCAGATATTGCTCTCATATATATGTTCAATCCTGTTTATAAATAGAATAAATATCTTAGAACAACTTCTTCCAGAGACTAGTTGTAGGATATCCTTTAGTCTTTTTATTAATGGTAACTTTATGACACCTCTCAATTGGAGTAAGAGAATTTGGCTTAAACCTATGTACGTACTGGGACGTCCACATTCGCCAATAATTTGTATTAATTTAAATGTTTGAGCATGCTAAGAATTTACATTTTTGTTGTTGATATCAAATTCTTACCAAAATGGCTAAAATATTTTCATCTGCTGTTATATTAAAGCAATTGCGATGTGTTACAAAACATGTTAAATTTTTCCTTTTCCCTTCCGCTTTTTCGTCCTCAGACTTGTTTCCAAACTTAAAATTACAGACCAAAGAATTTTTCTTCTGATAAGATATGAACACATAGTAAATTTAAAACAAACAAAAGTTAAAAATAATTGTTAAGGTATATATTTTTTATATTACGTTATAAAAACTTGCCTTAATAGGCGAACAACAAACAAATAACACCCGGCCCACAATGGACCAGGTCTGTTACAAAACAAATATTATTTTGTTATTGTGTGTACAAAAATGAATGCGGGCATTTGGAATGTTAGGTTAGGTCAGCAAAAACGCTTCACTTACTGCATTGTTGAACATTTTTGGCATCGGTGGGGCATTTTGGTACAATGGGGAAACCAGGTTCATAAGCGGTTTTCGGAGAAACAATCTTTTCGCAGGGCTTTGCTTTGATCAATGAATGCGAAACTGGTGCTTGAGGGGTCACCTCGCTGTACAATTGATCCAAACTGATTTTCACATCCTGTGGTGGCACTTTACCGTCCATAACATCATAGACAAATGGTGGACGCACGGGGGTGCTCAAGAAACGACCATGGCCTTGAGCAACACGAACTTCGCCATGCTCAACACAGATACGGCCACGTACCAAAACATATTCGGGAACACCGTGGCAAACCAAACCCTCGAAGATGTTGAAGTCACATCTGTGGTGATGGGTGTCCTTGGAGATTTTGCGGGTGGCATTGGGATTCCAGACGAGGATATCGGCATCGGAACCGACAGCAATGCGGCCCTTTTGTGGGTACAAGTTGAAGATTTTAGCTGTGTTGGTACTGGTGATGGCAACATAACGGCATGGATCCATAATACCGTTGTGGACACCCTTCTCCCAGACGACAGACATACGGTCCTCGAGACCATTGACGCCATTGGGGATTTTGGCAAAGTTATCCTTGCCCATTTCCTTGTGTTCCTTGTTGAAGGTGCAGTTGTCACTGCCGGTGGTCTGGAGATAATCGCTATTAAGAGAAATGCAAATTTGTTAATTAATATATGCATGAAGGTGTGTGTGTGTGTGTGCTTGCCTCTCTACTTACTTGGCCAATAATCTCATCATGAATTCGGGAGTTGTGGGATCTGATCTGAGGGGAGGGCTAAGAACATGAGCAGCACCATGGTGGAAGCAGTTCTTGAAACATTGTGTGCCATCAGTACCCAGAGCAGCGGCCAAAGTTTCACCGTAGATACCACGGTTGTTGTAACGCTTGCGAGCTCTGGCGAGTTCAATACCAGCCGATTTGCTCATAATGTGAACAACATAAAGGGGGCAATCAACCTGACAAGAGAGGGTGAAATTAACAAAAATTGCTATAAAATAATTTTTAATAACCTACTTGATGGGCCAAGATACAGGCGCGGTTGACGGCTTCAGCTTCAACTTCCTCCATGCGAGACAATTCATGGCCCTCGGGACCAGTAATGCCAGCATCCAAAAGTTTGCCAACATTCTTGGCAATAATGTCACCATTTTCGGCATGGACCTGTAGTTCACAAAATTAAATACATTTATAAAAAAAAATTTATTTTTTGTTTTTCCACTACTTACCAAAGCAATACCACCCAATTCACGAATGCGTTCAAAACTGTCCAACATTTCGGAATCGTTGACTTGATACAAGCCCTTATAGGCCATGAACATTTTGAACGAGTTAATACCCTTCTCCTCACACAAGATTTTCATTTCATCCGATACGGATTTGGACCACCATGTAACGGCTACATGCAAGGCATAATCACAGCATACTTTGGGATCGGCCCAGGAGCGATATCTGTTGTAGGCATCCAACAAAGACTCACCTTTGTCGGGTACGGCGAAATCAACTGTAATTTAAATGGAAAAATATCTGTTAAGGCATTTCTGGAGTGATTTCAAGTTTAACCAACTTACTAATGGTTGTGGTGCCACCGGCAATGGCGCATTTAGTTCCATGATAGAAATCATCTACAGCGATAGCACCGCCAAATCTGAATTCACAGTGAACATGAGGATCAATACCACCGGGCATAACCAAACGGTCAGTGGCATCAATAACACGGACACCACCGGGAACATTGATTTCAGATGCGGGGCCAACAAATCTTTTAAAAAGAACAAAAACAAGAAATGGAAAATTAATTAAGTATTCGTGATAATTTTTTCAAATCGGCGCCTTCAACAAAATAAAACGGCATTTACATTAGATCTTTTTACCGGGTTAACCTACTTTATGAGGATTTATTTGACATATATGTAAAGGTATTGACAATTGAAACCCACTGGGTTAACGAAATCCGGTTAAATGTAAACGTACTATAAGCCGGATTTATCAAATCATACTGTCAACGATATGTATAAATTTCAAGTTTTCTTACAACAGCATGATTTATAATTGTAGATGAACATTTTAACTTTTTACCGGATTAACCTACAATTTAAAACTACTGAGTTAACGAAATCCAGTACAATGTAAACGTACTTTAAGCATATAAACTTGATTTGACAGAGAGGTTTTGAGCGAATTTAATTTTTTGTATTAAATTGGGAAATATTCAGTTGGATTTAGCAATTATAAATCGAGATAATGCACATTATAAAGATAAAAACAATGGTCTGAATGCGAATTTAAAAGTACGATTTTAAATCGACTCGATTAACGAAACCCAGAAAAACCTCCTAATTGTTTACAAATACCTTTAATCATGATCTAAATACCGATCAGCTGATGTTTGTTAGTATACATACAAAATTATTAATTTGCGCCAAAAATATTTGTTTGCAATTTGAAAATGAAAAGAAAAATTACATACAATATTCCTACATTTAATATCAAGTTTATTACCATTAATTACTCTTCATACACATAAGCACTATTTTCCGAAATCCACACTTTAGCAAAAACGTACAGGTTCCACATGTAATTCCATTTAGAACTTTTCGAACACCACTAAATTTAGTACCAAAAACCCTTTGGTCCTTCTTTCTAACTCTCTGTCAATGACCAACAGCTCTCTCCGTTATCCAAGTTTAGTGAATTTTCTATTCTATACTATTGGTACACATAAATTCGAGTTTCCAAAGTTGTCTCCATAGCTCAATACTACACTTCAACAGTAATCTAAGTTCCAAATCTCAAGATTCAACCAAATCCAAATGGTTTCAAATTTAGTACCATTTAGTAATTCTCATACTCATAGGTAAGAATTTCTAAAACTACATCAATCCATCAATCCTAATCTTACTTCCACCAAAGTCCAAATTGTTCCAAATTATTTTTAAGTCCAAATATTAGGATTCCCGCTCACACAAAACGAATTGTACCATATTTAGTACCAATTAGGTCTTCTCGTATCCATAAGTACGAAATTCCAATACTTCCTTAATCTTGCAATTTTAATTACAAATTTACGTTTACTATCTCTATCCGTTAACTCGAATCAAAATTGTACCAATTTTTTTACCATTTAGTACACATAATGACGAATTTTAAAAAAATTACCGACATATCTCAATTCTGCACTCAAACTGTAATATTAATTCAAAATTTTAGAATACAGCCCTATCCGTTCACACATTTGTAAGATTTCCGGACCCATTTAGTACTTTTTGTTTCTATAATTAGCAATTTCCTAAACTATGTCAATCTTACACTCCAACAGTAATTTTAATTAAAAAATTCGGGAGTCCAGCTCTATCCGTTCATACATAATCAAGTTGTACGAAATATAGTACTATTTAGTACACATAGGTACTATGCTTCCATATCTCAATTCTATATTCAAACATCAACCATTAGTCCAAATTATGGGTTTCCAGCTCTCTCCGTTCACCCAAATCCATCTAGTGCCGTTTATTACTTTTCGTACACATAAATACGAGTTTCCAAAGATGTCTCTATAGCTCAATCTTCAACAGAAATCTTAATTCCAAATTTCAGGTTTTCAGTTCTATCCTTTCAAGCAAAATCCAAATTGTACTAAATTTAGTACCATATAGTACCTTTCGTACCAATAAGTACGAATTTCATAATCTACCTCAGTCCTACATTCCAACAGTCATTTTAATTCCCAATTTGAAGACTTCAGCTCTGTCTGTTCACCTAAATCCAACTTCCACCAAATTTAGTACCATTTAGTACTTTTCGTACAAATAAGTACGATTTTTTAAAGCTAATTCCGATTATCAAGATTCCATCTCTACACACTCAACTGAATGTAAATAGTACGAAATTAAGTACCATTTGACACTTTTTATACACATAAGTACGAATGTACTTATTTCCGTACATCAACACTACTTCCCAACCAGTATTTCATTTCATATGTCAAGATTCATGCTATATATGTTCAATATATATACAACAGGAAGTAAATTCAGTAAAGTTTAGTACCTTTAGTACACTTATAGGTCGAATTTCCAAAAACCCTTTGCACATCATTCTAACTTTCCATCAGTGACCAACATTCCAAATTTCAGAATTCTAGCTCTTCCCGTTCGCTAATAAAAAGGGTACCATATTTGGTACATTTTAGTACTTTTCGTACCCTTCTACTTCCAACAAAACTTCCTGCATACCCCGATCCTACACCCCCATAATGACTGTACACAGTAGTATGAATTTCCAAAACTTCCTACTTAACCCAAACCTACACTTCACAGAGATCCTAATTCCAAGTTTCAGAATTCCAACGCTATCGGTTCACTCACAATCCAAATTGTACCAAATTTAGCACACAGTAGTATGAATTTCCAAAACCTCCAACTTACCCTAACCCTACAACCCCACAGTGACCCTAAATCCAAGTTACAGGATTACAACTCTACCTGTTCGCCCACAATTAAAATTGTACCACATTTAGTACACAGTAGTACCAATTTCCAAAACATCCTACATACCCCAATCCTACACCCCCACAATGATCCTAAATCCAAGTTTTAGGATTCCAACTCTAACGGTTCACCCTCAATTCAAATTGTACCAAATTAAGTACATAGTAGTACCAATTTCCAAAACTTCCTACATACCCCAATCCTACACCCCCACAGTGGTCCTAAATCCAAGTTTCAGAATTCCAACTCCATCGGTTTATCCCCAATTCAATTTGTACCAAATTTAGTACACTGTAGTACGAATTTCCAAAACTTCCTACAGACCCCAATCCTACACCCTCACAGTGATCCTAAATCCAAGTTTCAGGATTCCAACTCTATCGGTTCACCCCCAATTCAAATTGTACCAAATTTAGTACACAGTACTATGAATTTCCAAAACTTCCTACAGACCCCAATCCTACACCCCCGCAGTGATCCTATATCCAAGTTTCAGGATTCCAACTCTATCGGTTCACCCTCAATTCAAATTGTACCAAATTTAGTACATAGTAGTACCAATTTCCAAAAATTCCTACATACCCCAATTCTACACCCCCACAGTGATCCTAAATCCAAGTTTCAGGATTCCAACTCTATCGGTTCATCCACAATTCAATTTGTACCAAATTTAGTACACTTTAGTACGAATTTCCAAAACTTCCTACATACCCCAATTCTACACCCCCACAGTGATCCTAAATCAAAGTTTCAAGATTCCAACTCTATCGATTCATCCACAATTCAATTTGTACCAAATTTAGTACACTGTAGTACGAATTTCCAAAACTTCCTACAGACCCCAATCCTACACCCTCACAGTGATCCTAAATCCAAGTTTCTGGATTCCTACTCTATCGGTTCACCTACAGTTCAAATTGTACGATATTTAGTACACAGTAGTACGAATTTCGAAAACTTCTTACTTACCCTAAACAGAGATGCTAAATCCAAGTTTCAGGATTACAACTCTTTCGGTTCACTCACAATTCAAATTGTACCAAATTTAGTACACAGTAGTACGAATTTCCAAAACGTCCCACTTAACCCAAACTTTCACACCCAGACTGATCCTAAATCCAAGATTTATGATTCCAACTCTATCGGTTCACCCACAATTCAAATTGTACCAAATTTAGTACACATTAGTAAAAATTTTTAAAACTTCCTACATATCTCGATCTTACACCCCAACAGTTATCCTGACTCCAAATTTCATGATTCTAGCTCTATTGGTTCGCATAAAATTCAAATTGTACCAAATTTAGTACCATTTAGTACCCATGAATATAAATTACTGAAACTGGGTAAAAAAATTCCAAAACTACGTACATTCCCAATCCTACACTCAGATGTCCAACTCCTAATGTTAATTTCAAATTTCAGGATTCCAGCTCGATTTGTATCTCCAAATTAAATTTGTACCAAATATAGTATCATATAGTACTTTTCGTACACATGAGTACACGCTTTCAAAACCATCTCCTTAAATAGAATCTACATCTCATCCCTAAGTCGCATTCCAAATTTCAAGTTTTTAGCTCTATCAATTCACATGCTACGAAATTGTACAAAATTAAGTACATTTTAGTACTTTTCGTACCCTTCTATTTCGAATTTCCAAAAACCCGTTGGTACGTCTATCCTACACTCAGCGACCACCAATCCAAATTTCAGAGTTCTAGCTCTACCGGTTCGCCAAATACAAATGGTATCACATTTAGTACTTTTTAGTACTTTTCGTACCGTTCTAGTACGAATTTCCAAAAACGCTTTTGTACATCTTCCTAACTTTACATCAGTGACCCACATTCCAAATTTCAGAATTCTAGCTCTTCCCGTTCGCCTAATACAAAGGGTACCATATTTGGTACATTTTAGTACTTTTCGTAACCTTCTAGTTCGAATTTCCAAAAACCCAGCCTTATCTCACGCCTACACACCAACACCAACCCACACTCAAAATTTCAAGCTTCTAGCTTTAGCCGTTTCGTCTGGGCGATGATCTGTCAGTCAGTCAGTCACTCACTCACTCACTTAACACTAAGCTCTTTTATATATATATAGATTTTTATTTTCCTTTGATTTTTCATTTTTGAATTTGGCAACCGTTAAATATAAAAACATACTACATGTGAAAACAGTTGCAAATTTTGGTACATTGTGCGGTTTTTCGTACAAAAACCGCGTTGTATCACATTAGTAACATGATTTCGATCATGATTTATAATAAACCCTGCCGCACGTGGATATAAATTTGTGTGATAAATCATGTTAAATTCAGTCCGACTAAGAAAACAAACCCTGATTTCGCCTTTTATCATGATTAAATGATATCTACATATATCATGTACGCTTTTATGTACTACAGGGATAAATCATGGTAAAGAACGCTGTACCAATAAAAATGCAACACTATTTTTTATGAAAGGTGAATTATGCTACGTTTACATGAAATGTGTTGTATTATAAGTCTAGCATTAGTTATTATTTATTTATTCATTTACTATTATTATTCAATATTTTTATTTTAAAGTATAAACAAATAATAAATATGACAAAGCACAAATAAAAATTACAGCAATTTTAGTAGCCGGCGAGATAAACCGGCATTTTGCATCAGCTGACTGAGCAAAAAATCGTTTATTCTAAACATTGATAATGAATACAACTAAAATCAATGTAGAATTATCACAATTCTGGCATTAATCATGACTAATCATAATCATAAAAATATAAAAAAAATAGATTTTAATCTTGTGATTCTTAAACAATGTTCTCTCTTATTTTAGGAGATAAGCCCCGTTTAATATGGCAATTCTTAAATTGGAGTATAAATGATTTTTCAAGGCTTTATCACCACTTCGGGGTGACCCCCTGTGAATTCATTGATATCTCTCCATATCACCAAATTGTTCAGAAAAAAAACAGAGGCAGATTTTCAAGTCCAGTAAACTGCAACGCTTATCAGAAATGTCATGACCCTTGCAGCAGATTAAAAAACATTCTGGAAAATGTTTGAACGAAAACAAAAACGACAAATTTCTATTTGGTTTGATTTTTTAATAAATATTTTGAAAGTTTCATATAATTTTAGAGCGAGAAAATGTCAGTCAGCTGATATTTGTTTACATATCGCTCATTTGCTGTTGGAGTTAATGATGCACGATTGTTCCCTATAATAGACTTGATGTTGAGTAAAAAATTCATATGAATATCTCTTACACACTCTAATTGAGAAGCTATAGAAGTTCCTCAGTCCCATATAAAGTGGGAGTAAATTGAAAAGATAAAACGCATTTTCTGCAAAATCGTTTTTTTTTTTGAGTTATGCCTGACTTGCAGCAAATGAGCGATATGTATATACTAGGGAGAATATGTACAAACCATATAGAAATCTTTAAAGAACAAATGTTGAGTAAAAAATTCATATGAATATCTCTTACACACTCTAATTGAGAAGCTATAGAAGTTCTCATGTCCCACATGAAGTGTGAGCAAATTGAAAAGATAAAACGCATTTTCTGCAAAATCGTTTTTTTTTTTGAGTTATGCCTGACTTGCAGCAAATGAGCGATATGTATATACTAGGGAGAATATGTACAAACCATATAGAAATCGACATCAAAATCATGAAAAAGTTTTGCACTCTCGTAAAAATATTGCAGAAAGTTATCGAATGCAATTTTGTAACAATTTCCAATAAATCAGCTTATTCTAACAACAATATGATTAACATTAAAAATTTGCCAGTAAAAATTAGAAAAGTTTCACTAACTATAACCTGTGGGAATTTGAACAAATGGTATACTGGGTTTCAAAACATACCTAATAGTACTTATAGAAATCTCCATTTTATTTGACAATTGGATACGACGAATTAGGTTTTATCATAAAACACGTTTGATGTAAATGCAGCATAAGTTTATTTTTTCAACATCGCAGATGTTAATTCTCCTTAGGTTTTATTACAAAAAATTTGAGTAATTTACAGTAACCTGATAATCTAATGTAAAGCTGTTACAAGTCAATCGAAACGTGTGTTGACATTTCAATCGAGTTGATTTCGTAAATATTCAACTCGATTTAAATGTCAATTACATAGCGTATACGTCAAATATAATATATTGGTTTTATGAAGAGGATTAATAGTGTGTTTTTATAAGAACTTTATTCTGGGTTAACCTACTTTCAGAGGATTTATTTGACATATATTCAATGGAATTGTCATTTTAAACCTACTGGTTTATCGAAATCCGCACTGTAAGGTAACGTAAAGTACGTTTAGATTTACGATTTCAAATGTCAATTCCATAGCGTAAACGTTCAATATAATCCACTGAATTTGGGAATATGATTAAGATATTTTCGAGTGGATTTAGTAGTCTAAACGCGCTCAAAGGATGTTTTGTACTTACTTAATTATGCCATCTTCAACGTAAACATCAGCTTTGAACATGCCATCGTCATTGACAACTGTGCCATTTTTGATGTAGATACGGTTTTGGGCGCTCTGCAAATGAAATAGAATTTTTTATTTTTTAATATTCTGATAAACAACGATAAAATTATCAACATATGGTGTTATTTTGTTGTATTTTGTCGTTTCAGATAAGATTTATGTATATTCGATACAATAAATCTGATATTATAATTTTTTAGATAAAACTAAGTTGTAAAGAACAGAAATCTATGAACAAAATTGTAGCAGAATTCTTTAAACGGTTTATTACAACTGAACTAAATTAAAATTATGCTCAAACCGGTACCAGCCTTTATTTATTTTGTTATATCGAGGTGAATTTACATCGATTTACCATACAAAATAAAATCAATTATCTGGATTTTTTTCTAAATCCTGTACGTAATAGAGATTAGATTATTATTCGCAGCATAAAATATATGTATGAAAGACTCTTAAATATCATTAATTTGTTGACTGATTTAAGGAGAATATTTGGTAACCCTATCTTGTACGATCTTATTGCAAATCAGCTGTTTGTGTCAAGCGAGAGATTCATTCGGAATAAATGCAACACAAACCTATGTATCTGTTTAAAATTTATTTTTTATGACGTTTCATCTTAATTTTGTGATTTTAAACAAATTATACACAATAATAACATGTTAATCTATCATCATGTGCATTTTTTATTTCAAAAATAATATTCTTTTATATAGAAAAACATGAATACACCCGACTCTCACTATGAAAATGTAAGTGTAAAGTATACACCTCAAATGGGTGTAAAGTGTGTTACAGAACACCTCGGCGTGTGTTCGATACACTTCTGCCGTTGAAGTGAATGCCAGAACATGCCCGAATGATACAACTTTGTTTATGTCAGCAGCAGCGAAATTTTAATTTTTTATTTTTTTTTAATTACACATTGTTCACTATATTTTAAAATGACGCCTGATGGACAGAAATTTGTATTAGAACTATGAAAATATTGACCAATTCCTATGTGTATTTAAAATTGGCCACAGAAATTATGAACCCAATGAAATGTTTATTTTTACATAAACAAATATCAGCTGACTGACAAATTTCTATCATGTTTATAATATCCTAAAGATTTAGATTTTAGTTCCTAAATTTAAAAAATCGAATCGAAGCGCTTCAAATCCATTAAAAGATCGTCCTTTGCCATGAAGGTCATTCTAGAATTGCATCGATGCTGTAAGATTATCTCCAATCCAAAGAAGCGCTTCAAAACCATTGAAGGTCATTCTAGAATTGCATAGAGACAATGTTCTCCCTGTCTTTTTCGAGTAAGGGACTCTCATACATTTTCTGTTTTATGTGCAATTATTGTTGTAGAAGGGGCCATTAGGGATTGATGGACCAAGATTAGCCTTACAAACATTCAATTCCTTTTATTTTATAATTGTCATATATAACATTGAAGCTCAAAATAAATATTCTTCTCATGAAAGATTTAGCACTAAAAGGTCATTTCAAAATTATCCTTTTTTATTTCAATTTTAGTATCACGCATTTCTTTACACAATTATATAATAGATTTTTTCCGGATATGCCCTTTTCACTTTTAAATGTATTCACCAAGGATAATAATTTCCATGACCAAACATATTCTAATACCAAAATTCCGTTGCAAATATCCACAAAAACAACAACATTAAACTATTCAAATTCCAGCTAACTTACCTGCAAATGAATAGGTACCTTCTTGACGGGAGTTTCCATTTTTTGTTTAGTTCTGCAAGACAAAAATAAAATTATTTCTATTAATATTCAACCGAATCCGAATAATAAGCAATGAAAACCTACATCTACTCTCAGAGCGTTACTAAATGATACTAATTTCATTGTTCAACATTAGGCAACTTCGTCACATTGGCTCGGCTTAAGACTCGTGTTAAGAATCTATGTAGTTCCGATAAGCCCGCTCATTTAACACAACAGAAGCTGTTAACCTGATATTTAGTTTTCAAATGAATACATATGTATGTACATATATACACATTAATTTTATTGTGATTACTAAGCAAAAATTGTATTGGAAAGTATTAACATAAAAGTTAAAAAAAAAATTAAAACTTAAAAAATAATAATAAAAACAAAATCAACGAAAAAGGAACATTTGCCTAGAATCGAAAATAACATTCATATACACATGTATGTATTTATTAGTATTTGATTATGGAAATTTTTCACAAGCATAAAATCGAAATTCACTCAACAGACGTGGGCTTGTCTGAACAATGTATGCAGAAGGGCAACAAACAAAGTTTTATATTTTTAGATTGATACCGAACTGTCAAATTGATAAAATTGTAAATTTTTGGACCAGATAGTACAATTGATTGATAAACAACAATGTAAACAGACCATAAACGTAAAGTAAATAAGCCAACTAACATTTTTGTGGACACTGATTATTATTTTGTTTCTTTTAATTAGCGAACTTTCGTAAATACACTTTGCAGTATAAAACGGACATAAGAATGTCTCATATAAGGAAAACAAAGGCATATAAATGGATATGAGGATTTATTTAATATATATGCAAAGGAATTGACAATTGAAACCCACTGGGTAACGAAATCCGGTTACATGTAAACGTACTATAAGAAAGTTTTTCTATAAAACCAAGTATTTAAAAATGTTTTAATATGATAAAAAAAAGTCAGAAGCGAGTTTAGACTCCAGATTGTTATTTTCCAATAGTTCGTTTACATTGTACCGAATTTGTTAAATCCTGTAGATCTAAATTGTACACTCCATTACATATATCTCAAATATTTCCTCATAGAGGAGGTTATATCGGCTTGCAATTGGATTTACTCCATATAATTCAAATACAACACTGTTTTTATGAAATATAAAAAAAATTATGTATATATAAACTAAAATCAGCCAATTGACAACTTTATAAATTTTTAATACTGGTCTAAACATCTGGGATTTTGTACCTCTATTTAGAAGGCATAGTCAAAACAATCATCAGCTGACTAACCTTTATATCATACCAATGCATGTCTTTACGAATGGGGTGTTTTTCAAGATTTAGTTAACACTAGTTTGCCGAAGGCGATCATTTTGACTGTTTTTCAAATTCAAGTACAAAAACAATTGTGTATGTTATGACATAGGTTTTTAAAATTTGGTGACTTTTTGTACCACATAGAACTACGTTTATTAATCATAGTAGCTGCTCCCCCACCCTCTTTCATTCCCCGTATTCACATGTGCTATACCTATATTGCCTAAAATCGGTCATTTTGACCTCTTGTGAAATATTAAATAATGAAACTACTTTCATTATTGTATAAAGTAAATTTCAAAAAGGGAAACTCAAGAGCCCTCCCACCGAAAACAAATAATAACAACGTTTTATATGATTCTAAATAATGTACAAAAAATTAAAAAATAAGTTTACAAAAATTTCTTTACACAATAAAATTTTTTTCAGAATGACGTCATTTTGACTGATTTTAGGCAATATAGGTATATACAAAATTCCAGTCTTTCTAGTGTTAATCGAGTTAATCAAGTTCGTTTAGATTTTCGAAATCTAGTCGAATTCAAATGTGAATTCGATCGAGTAGATTTGAGATCAAGTAGATTTAGTAGTCTAAACGCGCTCTAAATGTACTTCTAATATGAAGTCGCATTTAGACTAAAGCTTTTATTGTGATAATTTGGATTACACTCATATATCGATTTGCTCCTCCTGCAAACCTGCACGTAATCGAGATAATTTGAAATACAACTCTGTTTGCTTACTGGCCAGCTATATGGAATTATAAATGTGTATGTATACGTAAACAAACATCAGCTGACTGGATCTATACCGGTTTAATACAATTCTGAACAGCTAGAATTCTGGCATAGTTTAAACACGTTCACGCGTGAAAACGTGCGTTTTGACTATGCCTTATGCACACGTGATCCGTGTGACGAATTTTTAGCTTTTCGACTGTCAAAATGGTGTAAACGTAGAAAACGAACCGAAAAAATATATATTATTTATATATATATATATCTTACAATTCTTTACTAGAACTGATACAAAATTCTAAACTTTTTGGATAAAACGGCATTTACATTAGAACTTTTTGCAGCGTTAACCCAGCGTTATGAGGTTTTTTTGACAAATAGCAAATGGAAATGACAATTGAAACCCACTGGATTAACTAAATCCGGTACTATGAGAAAAAGTTTAAATTTGATATGGATTTGTGTAAAGCAAACGTAATTTCCAAATTGATTAATGGAAATAGCTATTTTGTTAAAAAACCTAATGATTTTGGACTTGTTTCTGACGTATGTATTATACGTCGGAAATGTATGTCATTTGCGTCACTGTTTCCGACGGATCATCTCTTTCCAAGTAGATCCTATCAAGAGCCACGCCCACAATACTATTACCATTTGTTCTTTTTTGTCACTACCAACATTATCGCTTCATACACTAATAGTGCGTTTACATTTAACCGGATTTCGTTAACCCAGTGAGTTTCAATTGTCAATTCCTTTGCATTTATGTCAAATAAATCCTCATAAAGTAGGTTAACCCGGTAAAATCTTCTAATGTAAATGGCGTTTAACCCGCCGTTATGCGGACTATAGTGCACACGCAATTCCAACGTATGGTGCTAGGTGTGGAAAAGATCGATAAGTGTTACGGACCTAGTACAACACTTTCAATGGGCTTTATCATATTCGATAAGAATGCGCCTGTCGGCCTCTCGATATTCTTCTATAACTGATTTTTCAGTAATATGATAGCAGGGTAGAAATTTCAATGTATTAGTGTATATTTTTTATAAAATAGCTTCAATAACTGAATGAAGGAATGAAAAATATTAGCTCACTATGGTGCGTTCGCACTCTCCTCTTATGGAAACGAACGATAAGTAGTATTGTGGGCCTAGTTCAACACTTTTAATAGACATTATCATATTCGATAAGAATACTCCTGTCCGCAACGATACTGTCATCATCTACAGCAATGAGATAATGATTATAATTATTATTATGAACATATATATGTTATTTATTTGCACAATATTTGTCAATGTCAAATTTTCGTAAATTAAATATGTGTTTTTACTTTCAAATCTTCTCTTTATTTCGCCATACAAATTTTCCTAAGGGCATTGAAATTTAATATGTATGTATATGTATAGATATATATCTAAAATAATTCAAAAGGACATACAAAATTCGTTGGTGCCATTATAGCTTATGAATACAATTGGCGTTTTACACATGTGAACAAAATGACAACTTAAACCACGATTTAAACACGTTCGTTGTAAATATACCATAACCTACCGAATTCGAGTCGATATCGTTCGCAAAACAGTTAAAACTTGTTTTAAAGATGTACCTGCCACCATATGAAAAAAAAGGGGGCACGACTCAAGCATGACTCGGCACAATATAAAGCTTTCGACATCACACGTATTCTATTTCTTAACGACGCAGTTTCGGCTATTTATGATATTCCGCAAATAATAGTAAACAAACATTAATAGCGTCGGAAGCTTCAGCATATTTATGTAGAATTGAATTTATAACTAGGCATTATATAAACGGTGTATGCAAATATACAATTAACAACTCATTTCAAATATATTTTTAAACATACTTTCATAAGCGTTTACCACTACACGTTTAGCATTTTTTTTTTTTGTCGATCAACAATGGAAGAGTACCTAACAATGCCGGCTGTCTAAATAAAAACAAACAAATCTCACTTGGTTCTGAATATGTGCAGAAAAAACAACTCTCAGTTGAAATTCGAAATTTGTATGGGCAGATTATTTGCTATTCTATTCGTTAATAAACAAAACACAATCTGATGATAAATGTCTGATTGTGATAACTGGTAAGGTATAAGCCTTCTGAGCGTGGACACTGCGATGCAAATCCAAAATTATGTTTCTGCATAAAAACATAATAAATTCCGAATACAGAAATTCCGGGAAAAATATCTGAAATTGAGTGCGATCGGATAAATTCTCGAGTAAATCACGGCCATTGGATGAATAAAGGAGTCATCGATTTCGTGGTTTCAAAATTATCGTTAAACCTTCTTCTTTTGAGTTGAATGTCTGACATTGACGAAAATGGATCGCTTAAATATCTCACAACGCAAAGACATCGCCAAAACCTACTACGCTACTAAAATTGTAATTCTGTCACAGCCGCATATCATGTTTAAAGAAGAGATTCTGGTTTACATAATCGTCCAACTACGGGTATGGTAAAAAACAAAATTGTTGTATTTGCTTTTCCGAGAATCCTCAAGTAATTAAAACAGGACATTACATCCAGAAAAAGTCACAGTTTGACGCTCTCTTTGGTCCCAAGGTGTGATTGGATCTAACTCCTTCTGGCCGCGTAATCAACTGTAGTGATTCAGCATATCTATAATCCATCCAATGTCAACCTTTAGTCATTATAAAATTCATATCTTAAACAAAGTAATTTTAATTATGGATTTTATTTAAAAAAATGGAATCCCTTGATTTATATTGCTTGACAACTCCTTATCTTAATTTTTTCACTACATCAAGTCGTATACGTAATCTGCACATGGCACTGATATAAAGTATACGCTGCATATATTTCTTTCAGATACATAATAAAGAGAATGTGCGGGTAATATAGTATAGTATGGAATGCTAATACCCAGTGAGCGAAGCAGTATAGTCGGACTGGGCCGACCAACT